CGTGTTTTAATTAGCTTTCGTTTTCTTAATTAAAATTAAAACTTTATATCGTTGTTGCCTCTACAAAACTGGCTATGCGAACAGTTTGCACAATTGAATGATAAGGAGCAAGAATGTAAGAAATAATATTATTAGCAATATTTAGAATTAGTACTTAAGTGTACCTTCTTACTCATAAGTAATTCATACGTACACTTCTGCTTGTAAAAATTGAAACACCCAGAAGGAATGGTCGGAATCACTTACAATAGACAGATGTGTAGAACTAGGGATTAAACTTGCTTAGAGATGCCGTGCACATCGGCCTAGCAGCGCCCTTCTTTCTGTGGCAGGTTAGGTCAATGTTACGTCAATGTTACGTCACACTCAGCCGGTATAAAGCCGTCAAACGACGTAGAATCGTGCAAGCAAGTGCCAGTATGTCTCGTCGACGCCAAAGGGCGCAAAATCAGCGCCTAAGTCAGTTCGAACGGAACAGAATGATCGTCTCCAGGAAGCGCGTTTGCCGTACCGTGACGTGACCGTGCAGCTCGAATGAACTGCGTTGCCACGAGTGAGGCGCGTGTGAAACTAGTGAATCGGGAACGAAAATGTCATTTTTTTAAATATTGCGAAACACGCGCTATTTTAAAATCTATTTTTATTTATTTATTTTAAACTTTTACTCATCTTTCAACTATTTATAGTTAAAATGACGGGAAGGGATTCTGGAACTCAAGAAAACGTGCGCAGATGATCTTCTCCCCCATACGTCACATATAGTTTTTACTGTTTTTTGACTAAATAAATATATAATCTGAATAGAGGAGTGCTTCGTTTCTGGCGTTGCCAGTTCGGATAATAGCAACTCAGAAGTTTCCTCCAGACGTTTCAGTGAGGATTCTTAGAATTCATCCCATTGTTGTCAGCCATGATGATTGTATGATGTAGATAATATTTTTATGAAAGGAAATAGATTGATGTTAGGTAATACATCTTAACTAAAAACTAACAAACACACTTTCATACCATAAGAAGTTTCAATCGTTGATTATAGTATTAAAAGAATGAGGGCTCACTTCACATGTAATCAAGGTAGTCTTGTGTGAAATAATTCTTGTTTTTCGTGTTAAGTTCTGTAAATACTGTAAAATTTAAATTAATTCATGTTCGTTTCATTTCTAAAAGTAAGTAATGGCTACTCTTTCTGACAATAAAAATAAATAAAGATAAGTTCGAGAGTCGATTCGTTTGAATTAGACTTTTTCAAGCTATAACTGGGTTTTTAGTATGACAGAAATTACAGTATTTCAATATTACATAACTATTGTCAATCATATGAGAAAGTATGTGTTGTTGACGCACCTCAAGTTTAGTACTTTAATAACCGCCTGTGTTGGCCGAAGGTCGTTGAACGATCGCAAATTGCTAAATGATGTGGCGCCTTGCGAAGCAGGGCACTTTTCCGAAGATTTGTAAGCCCAGAACACTTAAGGAAACGTCAGGTCTACTGAACGTATCGGTTGAAAAGCTTAGCTTCGCCGCCCGTTCTTTCTACACTCTCCGAAGTTAGGAATAAGAGCACCTAATGGAGAATTGATGGGCCTGGCGCAGCGACGGGAGGGGGGGGTAGGGGGGAGGAGAAGGTCGTTCGTCGTCTGAAAGGGGAGGGGGTGAATGTGGGGCGAGGGCAGCCTCTGGACATCCGCGGAAAGATAGCTGACCTCGCGAAAGCCGACTCTTCGAAATTGTGGGCGATGGAAGTTGCCAGGAGAAATTTATACTACTAGGATTTTTTAGGCTTCCATTAAGTTTTTACTTTCTCGTATACACACGTATATACGAAGTAATATATGTAGTATGGAGAAAGTTATGTAATGCTGCGGAAAATCGATTTCAACGGAAATATACGTCTCGGGGTCCCCTGATACCGAAACATCGGTTCTTTTCAAAGTCATTCGTGAAATGTTAATCACGGCTTCTACGTCCCCCCCCAATCACTTCGTCCCTTATCGCCTACTTGATTGCTCGTTCCCTTCCCAGTGTTGCAAATACTTTTTTACACAAGTGAATTTGCTCACTTTGATGTAATGAAGGCAATCTTGTGTGCAATATTATTCTTTCTGTTCTGTATAATGTGCTTCAAATTATGTAACATATAAATACATTCATGTTTGTTTCATTTGTAAACGTTAGAACGTTCCTGGCTATCGAAATAAACTCCTAAATGCACCACAAGCACTTCCTTTAAATTGGTTGAATGGGTCGTTTTCAATTTACAACTAGGTTTTTAGTATGACATGAATTACAATTTCTACCATAAAATCAATTATAAAGTTTAATTTTACGTAACTATTTCTAATAATGCGAGAAAGTATATGCTGGCGAAGCGTATTCTTTTTTATATTCAATTTTGCATATTGATCTTTATATTTGAATCAAATTTATATCAGAAAATCCACAGGAAGTTTCCTGTAGTCTCCAAAGAGTTTCAAGTATTATTGAATGGTTTGAAACCCCTGCTCTACACGCCCTGCACTGTAGTGCTCGTCTTCATCTGTGAAGTGAAGCGCTTAAAATGCAACAACCTTGATTACGCGCAAAGAATTTTAGACCAAAAGACTTCTTGCGACCACACAAGTAGTGTCAAACTCAATCATGTTCTGTAGCCAACAAGCTGTGGCTAATGCTCATATTATCGTGAAGCCCGTTATCCGTTTATCGTCATTCATGTCGCCTGGATGATGTCCGCGTTAACCGTCGACTCTTAATATTGCACCTATTTTGGGTTTTGGACATAATATTTACCCTCTATTAAAAATATGGATGAGAATATTAATGCTTTTAATTGTATTGTATAAATCGTGGCTGAAAATGATCCTTATGAAGTGCTAGTTTCAGGCAGTAGACTGATGTGGTGCTTTCTCGCTTTCTTGATTTTGCATAATCTTCGAAACTTACATTTGTAGGGTTTTGTGGTATTGAAATGTGATTTTTCAGCTGGATGGGTCATCAGTAGTTTTGGCAGAAACTACAAATGACTATTCATTACAAGTTTACTGAACCTAATCAAACCAAAAAGCTTGCACAGGATCACGAAATACAACATCAAGTATGACTTGTTGCAGAGAGTTACCAGCAGCTGCTTTGAACAATTTAAAAGAATTATCTTCAGAAAAATAAAACAAGTTCAACTTTTCTAAACAACATTACATCTAGCAAACGGGCTTAGTCAATTTCTTAATATTTGTTGTGAACAACGAAGCAGAAATAACGAGAAAACTGGATATTCAGTGGAAACATTTCATCGTAATTAAACATTGTGTTGACAAAAACATGTTTACGTTGTTATTCCAATGTAATTTTCAGTAAAACTCGCTATTTTATTTCATATCCTCTCTCAGAACAAAAGCACGTTACAAATATGTGTGAATGATGCATGTAAAATGAATATTTATTGATCAGATATGTTTACGAGATAGCGCCTGCTAAATGTGATATTCTTTAGTTACAGTATTCACATACTCAACCATATTAATTGATGCTTCATTTCCCTTCCAAACTGACTTTTAATTGAATCGCTTATTTCAGAAACCCGCCAAGTACAGTTATTCAAACTTTTGGAAAACAAAAAACTCTCTTCTTTTAATATTAATGTAGATTTGTGCCTAGATTAAATTTACAGATTTTATCAATGTCTCCCAAAGACATATAATGTTTGTATATTTAGAATTATACTCTAGTCATAAAAAATTATAAAGAACGTAAGCTTGAACGTAAATTTTGCCTGAGGCAATCATATTCCAGTGTATTGAAGCTTGATCAATTGTCGATTCGTTTCTAGCATGGGGGAAAGATCTTTACACCGTGGTTTCTAGCTTTCTCTTCGATTTTCCTAACGATTTGTCTTATATATAAATGCAAGTAGCTGTTATTTAGTGCTCGCATTTCCATTACTTTATAATCACGAATTCTCTTGTACCAAATTCACGAGTGATTTGTAGTAATTATTTTATTTGCCACGTCAAGTTAAAGTCACAGTAAAAATGGCCCAAATTCTTACACTGAATTCACTACTCACGTCAAAACATTTCGAAAACTAGTTCAGTACATAACAGTAATGAAATGATATAACCACAAACTACCAGAATACAATCCATGTTCATTTCTTTCATGCTGCGCTTTGATTGGTCGTCAGTAAAATTCCAACGTAAACTTAACGTGAAAGCTTGGTGCTTGTGAACTCTCAAGTTTACGTCTGTACAGTTACGTCAAGGCTTTGTGAATGGTCTCACGTAATAACTCATTTCTAGGTTTTGCGGCTACGTTATGTGTACGTTAGAGTTCGCTTTGTGAATGAAGCCTAATGGCGGAGCTGCGATTCGATTACTCAGGGGTCAGGCTCCGCATGCCACCACCAGATGTCGGTAAGAGGCCGGACAGTGCAATTGTGGTAAGCGGCCGTGCTGTGGAGACAACCTTTCTCGGGGCGTTCAAACTCCCGAACCGAGCGAGCCAAAACACTCGGCGGGGAGGCCAGCGCCCGGCAACTCTCCATCAAAACCAGGGGCAAAGCTCGAGGTTGCCACTATAGGAAGCGCTAGTGTCGCCGCTGCTGCGCCGAAGCGCTAGTGTCGTCGGTGCAGCTGCAGGTTAGGCTCGCCAACTTTCCCACATACTAATTGGTTAATTTGTGAGAAATACGAAAAGTGTGTTCAAAATGTACAGTTATTCATAATCTATACTTATACGAAACCTCTGAAGAATGCGCGAACGTAGACGTTATCTTTTGTAGCATTATGGGCCTGCTTGCGACCCGCGAACTCACGCAGTAGCCACGCACGTTTCAAGTACCATTGGCAGCAGTTCGTGTTTTAGTTCATGTAGAGAAGGCGATGCAGCAGAGCGCGCCACCGTAATGGTCCCCACCACGTTATATGGGAGTTATAGGGCCCTGGGGGAGGCTATGTCCGCGTTGCCCCGCCATTACCGCAACTTCGAATCGGACCTTCAACGCGCCGAGGTCCCCCACTGGCAGTGGTTTTTCGCGAGGTCCCTGGCTGGCGCCGCTGAAGTTGGTTTTTTTCTCCTCAGATGGTTCTGATTATGATTGTCCACCAAACGTTGCCAAGGAGCCTCAACGGCTTGTGTTGAAGACATCGCTAATGTGAGAATATTTTGATTTTTTTTTACATTATTCAGTTTTATGTTTGTTCAGTACGCAACTATAAATGAAATTCGTTCCATTTAAAACTGTTAAATGAAGTGTGAGAGTAAAGAATGAAGTACTAACACGAAAGTAAACTACGTTTTGGTAGAACATGCAGAGACAGAAGTGTAATACATTTATACTGCGATTTAAACATGGTGTCCCTCCAAGGTAACCAGCTGGACGGAGTGGGGGACAGTTAATCCAATCGGGAGTTTCATTACGACTTAAAGTTTTGATAGTAGATGACAATGTCCTCGTTTCCTTCCAGATCGTGACCGTATATTTAACTGGGAGTATAAACTTTCATAAAGTTTGGTGTTGATTTTGACAAAGTTAGCATCTTCATCTTCAATATTGCACTTCTACCGTGTTAGGTCTTTGTTGTAAATGAGAATACGAATTTTTTACTGTCCTTTCATGCATATGAGGAAGAAAGGTTCAAAATAATTATTTTTAAAGAAAAATATGGGGCGGTTTTTGGAAAAGTAATTGCTTTAATAATTTTAAAAATGACTGTTTTTCGCAAAAAAGCAGAAACTACTTATATTTTCCAAAAATTTGTACGTGATCTCATCTGACTTTCAACAACCGATTTCATTCAGAAAATATTGTAGCGATTGGAAGACGCTATAAATATTGTAGTTTTCAAAGAATCAGGCATTTCATCGAAAATGAGATCTACGACATTCTTTTAAGCGTCTTGTTTACCTGTTTTTATTGTGAGTTGAAGGGGTTGGTGTACCATTATCACCAGAGAGACAATCTATCTTAACCGGATACAAACTACGAAACAAACAAATGTGCCAGTTGATGTAATTGGAATGTAAGATACGAAAGTACTGTCCCAAACGGGAGCACGGGAAAGGGTTGTTGTTAGGAAGTATAGGAACTGTGTGAAGTAATTCCCCGCATGCAAATCATCTCTCGCGAATATCAGTCACCGTGAGTGTCTCGGGTACGTGGACTTTATTGTAAGAGAAAATATGCGATATTGTAAATGGAAACACTTTCTACAAACATAAGAGCCTCTACGGCCAAAATGGTAAAGAAATTATGTGATGGTAATATTTGTAGACAGAAAAACACATTATTTATATATTCAATGCTGATTTTCCTTTTAATTTTTGTCTGGACTCCATTCAATTTTATATTTATACATACTTCCTTACTTCTTACTCTAAAGGACAGTAAAAACTTTTACTCTGATGTGTTACACTAAAAATCCAGTAATACAATATAACATCAACAAAATAACTAAAAAGAAATGCAGATTAATTTCTAATTTGGAGAAAGATTTCAGAAAATGTTGGAAATTTGGGCATTGAAATGTGAATGTTCTGTTATTCAGATTAAATTTCCAAAATATGATTTTCTTTTTGTAAAAAATTTGGTTCGCGATTCGGCCGTCATGGGGCGACGCGATTTGTGCATCCCACCGGGACTCAGAACTGGTAATCGGTGTAGATACACGTTACTTTTCTAAGAAGAAAATCAGCATTATAATGCTGATTCCGGAAGTATGATTGTATTGGTATTATATAATAATAATAATAATAATATTAATAATGTTGTTGTTGTTTAATCTGTTCCAAGACCAGGGAATTTTAATGATTTCGTGAATAGTATATAATACAAGAGATGGGAATCGTGTAAACGCAATAATGATGAGTGGGAGATCCCAGAAGAAACGTGTGCACCAGCAACGACAGTGATTGGGATTTAAACCTCGTAACCAAGAGAGGGACGTTGCCACTGCTGATGCTAGAGGAGAAGAGATGAGAGGCCACATTAATCATGACTGGAATAGTTCAGAGACAGCATGGCCATTGTGTCTGCGGGGTCACTTGTCGGGAAGTCCTAGGATTCCAGTCCTGACTGGAATTACTCATTTCGACAATAGCTAGTTCGGATTCAGCAACTGTCTATAGAAGAATTCTAGATCTCGATTACGGTGATAGTTTTCTGTGGTACCTCCGATAAATACCAGGAGATAGCTCAAACGGGTCACCGACAGTACGCGGTCTTTCCTTCCTCATTCTTGTTCTTTCCTCTATCCTTACACACACACGCACACACGTATACTCACATGCATCACACTATCACACATGCCAAGAGCTTAGAGTTCGTCCGGGATGTTGAGGTGCCGGCTGAGGGAGAATATTCTACAAATTTACGTGATGGTCAGCACCGGGCCTCACTTTCCACCAGGGAACAAACGCTACCATATCTCGAATTACATAATGCAGTATACTTACGGGATTATTGAACATAGTAGTTGACGCGGTCGGAAAGCTAAATCATCAAACAATCTGATTTCTCTCTCTCTTTCTTTCTCTCTCTCTCTGTCTCTCTCTCTCTTTCTCCTTCTCTTTCTCTCTCTCTTTCTCCTTCTCTTTCTCTTTCTCTC